AATATTAACAAAACCCACCTGTTTATAAGTTCTATACCAAAATTCAAAATTATCAGTAAGAGAGATCACACCCAGGTGTAGTTATTTGTTTCTAGATTTACAAAAGTCAAAAATGTCTTCTATGGCCATGATTCATTACAATGAAATGGTGCAAAACAAAATCAGGAAGAAGCAAACATATCAGATAAAGTACAGAGGAAACTAGTTGCAGACTTCCAAGAGTCTTCTCCCAACAGAATCACAAAAGATGGGTTTAATTTCTTCAGGAATTGGCTTTGACATGTGGGAAGTGTTGCCTGACAAGCAAACTCAATTGAGCCTGAGCACTGAAGGTTTCGGTTGGGTTACTGCTTACATAGGCATTCCTGTCTGGCATATACCAAAACTCCAGACTCCCACAAGGAAAGCGTATATTAAATATAAACTACATTGCCTATTTATTTACTTTTTAAAACTACATAGTTTATTGTTTGTGAAATAGTTTAGGCACAGTGCACCACTCTTATCAGCTAGGGGATGATGGGAATACTTCTGAAATCCAAGTTTGCAGAAGCCAATCAAAGCCTTATTTGTTGTTTGTTTTTAATGATTTCAGAGCAGAAGGGGGAGAGAGAGAGAGAGAGAGAGAGCTATCAATGATGAGAGAGAATCATTAATCAGTTGCCTCTTGCATGCCCTCCCCTGGGGATCGAGCCCATAAACCAGACATGTGCCCTGAGCAGGAATTGATTTGTTATCTCTTGGTTCATAGGTCAACGCACATCCATCGAGCCACACCAGCCAGCCACAATTCAGGCCTTTTGAAGGATGGTATCTTATCCTTGCTGTTGTTGACACTTTTCTGACAGTAGTTAATAGCACATTTTTATATTCAAGTGCCTTTGTGCTTATATCCGAATTCTGCCACTGATTCTGATGCAAGTTATCTAAGCATTTTGCACACCTTAGTTTTATCGACTGTTACGTAACTTTAATTAGGCAATTATATCATCAAATTGCCACAAAAATCATGTAATAATTCACAATTATTAGCACACTAACTGCAAAAACGTAGTAACTCAATAAATATTGATGAATATTTGGCATGATGAATAATAGTATATGTGGCAGCTACTTCCACAAAGCTTAGAATAGAGTGTCTGAACAAGATTCAAACAAATTAAATGCAGAATAAATGTGTGTGTGTGTGTGTGTGTGTGTGTGTGTGTGTGTGTGTGTGTGTTACCAACTCTAAGTGCAATAGGAGTTCTAAGAGTGTGCAAACTCTAATTTATAAGAAGCTTCATAGTTAACATGCATGAGGCCATTAACTTGACACTAAAAAAATCCTTTGGTTGGAAAACAGGATCAGAAGAAATTAGTGGGTATATAGTCTGATTTGGATACAGTCTGATACTTTTGTAAATTTTTTTGGAAATGAAATATTATTATTCTTGCATGCCATTTTTTATAACTGCTTGATGAGCAAATATAACAAAAAAAATTTTGATGAACAATAACTGCTGTACTTAGATATGGACTCAGATATAACTACGGTGTTTCCCGGAAAATAAGACATTCTCCGAAAATAAGACCTAGCGCATGGAAAGATAAGACATCCCCTGAAAATAAGACCTAGTGCAACTTTGGGAGAAAAAATTAATATAAGACATTGTCTTATTTTTGGGGAAACAGGGTATCAGTAGGTACAGAGTTTTGTTTTTTGACATTACTGATAATTAAACATCATGATTACTTGAAAGCACATGCTGAGTACAAACTCCAGTATGATTGAATTAATAGATAAATGAATGAATTCGCTCAGAATGTAATTAGGCCTTTGATTTATCAAAAGGGGACACATGGGAAGCTATCTCATGCTTAATAAAAATCACATGTGATGAGAATCCGTTTTCGTTTTTAATTTTATATTTCTTGTTAGTAACAACAGACTAAGCCCGCTTGTAGGATAGAGAGAGATAATGGATGGTGTCATTTTACATCTAATGTTAAGATGCCTCCTCAAGCTAATATTAAGCATTAAAAATTCTTCACAGTCCTAATCGGTTTGGTTCAGTGGATAGAGCAACGGCCTGTGAAGTGAAGGTTCCCAGGTTCGATTCCGCTCAAGGGCATGTATCTTGGTTGCAGGCACATCCCCAGTAGGGGTTGGGCTGGAGGTAGATGATCAATGTTTTGATGTTTCTCTCTTATCAGTGTTTCTAACTCTCTTTCCCTCTCCCTTCCTCTCTGCAAAAAAATCAATAGAGTATATATTTTTTTAAAATTGTTTACAAAATGAGTGTATTTTACTTTATATCATAATTTAAATTTTAACCGACAAGGGTAGACATGTTTTATGAGATTTTATGCAATTGAACAAGATTCAGATAAGTGAAATGGAGACTAAATAATTGTGTATGTGTATCTGTGTGTGTTTATTACCAACTCTAAGTGTAAAGAATTCTAAGAGTGGAAAAACTCTGTAATTTATAAGAACCCACAAAGCTTCCTTGCCAGAACAAGTATCCTTTTCATAAGTATTATGGAGCCACACCAGGAGAAACAGAAGTAGCTGACAGAAATAGCATTCAGAAGACAAGGAAATAAAGGAGTATGGAGCTTTGATTATTTATAAATAATCACTTATGAAGTATTTTTTGGTCAGGAAAAAGATCATAGAGGACTTATGTAAATATCCCATATAGACTATCATTTAACTAAAGTATATAACTTAAATTAAAATTATTTTTTAAAATTATATATCTTACTGCATCTTGACTAATCTCAATGTAGAAACTTAGCCACATCAAAAAAAAAAAAAAAAAAAAAAAAAAAAAAAAAGGCCAGCACCTCTAAATGTTTTCTTTAATGACTTCCTTTAGTTAATCACAGTGATGGAAAAAACTTTGATGTAGTTATCCTAATATTTAAATATAATTATTTCACATACATCGCAGTTTACACATTTTGGGCAAACACAATTATAAAATGTAGTAAATCAGTTAACTCATTTTTTTTTTTAAATTATCTAGGCACCACATAGAAAATGATATACTGAGATCATTGTTATTAATCCAAGTAATTGGTCAGTGCTTTTGAATTTATTCTAATTGTCTAATCAAACCATCCACCACAGTTCTTAAAACAACTTCTTCATTATTTCTTTCTCTGGACTGTAATGTATTGAGGATTAACTCAGTGAAAACTGGCTCAAGAAATTCTGTATTAAACTAATTTGAATAAAGTTGAATCAAATTGAGTTCGTTAAAAATTATCTTAAGAAAAGTAGTGTCCCTAGTTTCAGATGAAATATAATTTTAAAATGAAAATGGAATGTCAAATCACTTACACATTGACAAGTTTTATAAACTAGTATGGATTTGCATTTACTCTAAGCCTCAACTGTTAAATTGCATTTTAATATTTATTTATTGATTTTAGAGAGATTTGTTGTTCCACTAATTCATTCATTCATTGGTTGATACCCATATGTGCTCCACTAGAGATCAAACCCACAACCTCGGTATATCTGACGAGGGCAGTTGTAACACTATTTTATAAAACACTATTAAAAAAAATGATGTACACAAAAATAAGATGCAGCACTTTATTAATATTTATAGCTTTAATTTTATAATTACAAAAAGTGCTTTTAAAGACATACTTAAATTAATTTAATCATTTTAACCACTCCTGAATATTTTATTCATACACACACGAATAGGGCACATTTGCCAGAAAAGTGTACATTTAAAAAATTGAGCAAGGCATTTTATAACCTTCTTTCCAGGCAGTATTTGGGTCTTCTAAATTATTTTTTTAGTCCAAATCCTTGATGTTCATGTTTAACATAAGAGATTGTTCTCCTTGTCCATGTGGAAGCATATTTTCATGGAGAAAGCCACCATTTTTTTCTGGTAATACCACCTGTACTACTGCATCCATTCTGCAAGTTTGGGCTGGTTCTTTCTTGGCCTTATCAGAATGTGTCAACCGAAAAATTTTCAGAAAACAATGAAGATTTCATATTCCATTTTATCTTTTTCTTTTCTTTCTTTTTTTAAAATATATTTTATTGATTTTGTACAGAGAAGAAGGGAGAGAGATAGAGAGTTAGAAACATCGATGAGAGAGAGTCATCGATCAGCTGCCTCTTGCACACCCCCTACTGGAGATATGCCCGCAACCAAGGTACATGCCCTTGACCAGAATCGAACCCAGGACCCTTCAGTCCCCAAGCAGACGTTCTATCCATTGAGCCAAACCAATCTCGGCTCATATTCCATTTTAAATGGTCCTTAACTGGTTTGATTTGAACTATTAGTTAATGTGATTTACCAGTATTTCTATTGTCCAAACCAATCCACAGCAAAAACATACAGTTCAGGCATTTGTGGGCCATGATAGCTATTAATACATTATTCCTATGACTGCACCCTGATAAACAGGAATTGTTCAGAGATTACCAAGTCTAAAACATCTAAAAGACATCATTTTTACTCTCAAGGAGCTTACAGTCTATGGCGTAAGGTATGGAAACAATCGGTGTCTTAGAATCAAAGGAACACAATATTAAAGAAAAAGCATAATGGGTTCTAATTTAAAAATTAAACTCTAATTAAGTGTGTGTGTGTGTATGCACATGTACAGTATTCTATAAAACTAAATTCTAATACAAATCATTTATATAATGGCTAGATTTTTGTTATATAAAATTTCCTGCATTTACTAAGATATTTAGACAAATTTAGCTATATTTTGTCAAACTTTTTCTTCAAAAGTTGAATGATTGTGATCATAAACTATATATTAAGTAGTTTTAAAGTATTCTTTTATGTGCTTTTACATGTATGATTAAAGATAATCAGTCAAACTGATTGGAAAGTATTGAAGTCTTCATTATATGCTTTGTGTATTTTTCTTTGATCATTAAAATGTGCACCTCAGGCTTCAAAATTAGTAATGTTAAAAATAAATGACCCAGCAACTGAATATTTCTTAATCTCATCTTCACCTAGGTCCCATAAGCAGTATTTTGGTGAATAAATATGGTAGCCGGCCGGTGGTGATGATCGGCGGTTTGCTGTGCTGTGTGGGCTTGGTGGCAGCCTCTTTCAGCACTAGCGTCATAGAGCTCTACCTCACTGTGGGATTCATTGGAGGTAAGTTTTGTTTTCAGCTTATTATCTTAACACCCATGCTGTTCATGAAGCTCTCTAAAATAGGTGAACAATAGAATATTTTTATTGTTTTCTTTGAATTTCATTTTTATATCAGGTACAATCTTGAATTATTTACATCTAGTACATTGAAATATTAGCTATAAAATGTCCAATCAAATTTATTTTAGGTATTGGGGGAAAAAAACAAGTTATCAGATACATAATGCTCTATGATATAAATGTCAGAAACAAAAAAAACAGTATTGGCCTGTTTTTTATCATTTTATCCTTCACTTTTCAGCCAGCTAAGATGGCAGACAGAAGAAGCTTTGTGGCATATAGCTTAATTTTTTTTAAAAAAAATGTATTTTTCATTGCTTATTAGTATTTACAATATCTGATGTTTCACATAATAGGTTAAAAACAGTGGCAGAGAGTTATTTTCTGGATGCACTGACTTAGCTTGAACAATAGAATTCTTGTATTCTGTTTATGGTGGAGCTCTGTATTGATGCCTCTTTGTTCCCTTCCTAAAAAGATTCTGGGTTAAAGCTCTACAAGGCACATTGGGTACTAAACACAAATATTTTCAAATGACATTCTAGTGTTTGATTATATTATAGTTGTTTTCTCCTGCACAATGTCTCTGGACTTAAACTGACCTGAATATGAACATTTGGAAAAGACAATGTTTATTAGCCTCAATAGTAAATTGAATCAACCAAATCTATACTCAGTTTTATAAGAAAAATTAGACTTCAATAAATAAAGAAATTGAGTATTTTTTCTAATGCCCACAGATAATAAGGTAAACATAGTTCTCTTTTTATTGTGATTTTAGATCAGTCTAACCTTGCACTTATGTGTCATGTAATGAAAAAAAAAAAATTGAAACATTAAAGCCTACAACGCAGTGATGTGAAATCATTCTCTTTGATACCTATCAATACCCCTCTCTCTTTTTTCTTGATATAGTAAAACATCTTTTGTGAATGAGAGAATCTTATTCTATCTAAAAATTGCCAGAATGGAGAGAGTGCCATTTCCTTTGTGCTGAGATACTGTGTATTATGTTTGACTATGGAAGTAAGGCAAAGTCTACAAGTAGATGTATTATTAGGGAAAAGGTGATTTGGGTATTACTGCAACACAAATAGCAACAGTATTATACAGGTGGGACAAAAACAGTGTTAGAGTTGTGAGTGTGTGAAGCAATTTATTCTTGTGTTATTACTTATTAATTACTAGAGGCCGGATGCACAAAAATTCATGCAAGAGTAGGCCCCCCCCCCCCCCCCCCCCGCTCCCCGGTGCCGGCACAGGCTTCCCTCTCGCCCAGGCTTCATCTGGAAGGATGTCCAGAATGACACCCAGAAGGACGTCTGGTCTAATTAGCATAATACCCTTTTATTATTATAGACTAGAGGACCAGTGCATGAAATTCGTGCACGGGGCAGGGGGGGCAGTTTGGGGGTGGGGGGAAACCAGGCTTGCAGGGGGGTGCAGTTAGGGACATATGGGCCAGTAGGGGAGGGCAGTTGGGGGAGATCAGGCCTGCAGGGAAGGGCAGTTAGGGGCAACTAGGCCTGTAGGGGTGGGCAGTTGGTGGCAATCGAGTTGTCAGGGGAGCAGTTAAAGGTCAATCAGGCTTGCAGGAGAATGGTTAGGGGGTGATCAGGCTGGCAGGCAGAAGTGGTTAGGGGCAGGCAGGCAGGCAGACAAGCAGTTGAGAGCCAGCAGTCCTGGATTATGAGAGGGATGTCCCACTGCCCATTTAGGCCCAATCCCACCAGAATCAGGCCTAAACAGACAGTTGAACATCAGTCACCCAGATTGGAGAAGATGCAGGCTGGGCTGAGGGACATCCCGCCCCCCCCCCCCCAACACACACACACACACACACAGACACACACACGCACACACACCATGCACAAATTTCATGCACTGGGCCTCTAGTGTAAATATAAAAGGAGATGAAAATCTGTGGAACTAAGTGATTATAATTATAAAAATTAATAATTTTGTCTTAGTTTCCACCTATGCTCTGATTTTTAAAACATCAGTAAAAGCTTTCGGCTTTATTTTTGTGCTTTAAAATGAAAGGAATTCATTGAACCATCATATATAACATGCGTCCAGTTGTGAGAAACTTTTTATGTGCCATCTCTTGATATTGGTGATTAACAAAAAAATCAACACCTGCTATTGCCTTTTGAGTCCTGCCTTACCCAATCGAATGTATGTTTTGAAGAGTAATTTCTTTTGTGAGTGGCCTAATGTGTTTGTGTTTTTCTTCCTTCTGTTTTGTTCTTTGCAGGTTTAGGTCTGGCCTTCAACCTGCAACCCGCCTTAACAATCATTGGCAAATACTTCTATAAGAAAAGACCCATCGCGAATGGGCTCGCCATGGCAGGAAGTCCTGTTTTCCTAAGTACACTGGCTCCTTTCAATCAGTTCCTTTTTAATACTTTCGGCTGGAAAGGAAGCTTCATGGTCTTGGGAGGCATATTGTTGAATGCCTGTGTGGCTGGGGCTCTCATGAGACCCGTTGAATCCAAACCAACTGCGAAGGCTCAAAATAAGACTTGCGAAACAGAGCCGGAGTCGAGTGTGAAAAACAGCCACAAGAAGCAAACAGTCTGGAAAAAAATTAATAACTATTTAGATTTCTCCCTTTTCAAGCACAGAGGGTTTTTGATATACTTGTCTGGAAATGTCATTATGTTTCTCGGATTTTTCGCACCCGTTATATTCTTGGCCCCGTATGCCAAAGACAAGGGGATTGACGAGTACTCGGCAGCCTTCCTGCTGTCTGTTATGGCTTTTGTCGACATGTTTGCGAGGCCTGCAGTAGGATTTATTGCGAACACCAAACTTGTTCGACCTCGAATCCAGTATTTCTTCAGTTTTGCGATTATGTTCACGGGGGTGTGCCACCTCTTGTGCCCATTGGCGGAGGACTACATAAGCCTGGTGTTTTATGCTATATTTTTTGGCCTTGGATTTGGGAGTGTTAGCAGTATTCTCTTTGAAAGCCTCATGGACCTTGTTGGTGCTCAAAGATTCTCCAGTGCTGTGGGACTTGTCACAATTGTGGAGTGCTGTCCAGTTCTCCTTGGCCCTCCTCTTGCTGGTAAGATTTCTCATCAAGGAAAGCAAAAAAGCATCACATCAATAGCTGTTGACCGAGATGTTCATTGTGATGCATCACATGGCTTGTAATTAACAAAATACTAATAGCCTGAAGGACTGAGCATGTGTTAAGTTTAGGGTTTAGTATGTATTTTTTAACTTAATAATTAGTTGAATTTAGATCTAAATTTGTTTCAAACGTTGGACCTATGAACTGAAAGAATTTAAGTTAGACTGGTAATTAGCATAATGTTTAGATATTTTACCCATATCAAGTTGTTCTTGTGTTTTTGAAAATGTTTAATGAAAAAGTCACTTTTTAAATTTTATCATTGGTGATAGATTTCTCTTCCATCTATATTAAAATTAGTCAAAAATTTAAAATAGCTCTCTCAAAAAGTCAGGATCTATTTTCTTCTTGGTTATATTGTTATGAAACTTGTTACATACCTAAGGGAAGAATACTTTTATAATACCCACTGATAGCATATACTAATATATATTCATGAAAGTCATTTTTATCAGACACTTATAGTTCATATTTATAAATTATTAAGACTACCTTTTAATTTTAAGATCTAAAAATTTTTAAAGATGCTTATATAAGCATTTGTGTAAATAGCCCAGTAAAGATACTTAACTTCATTTTGAAGTTTAGACTTTGATTAATATTTTTTTATAACATACTAAAGTTATAAATATTAAATGCTTTTTGTGGACCAGAATTTTTCAGTGACCATTATATATTATTTTGGTTAATACTAAACTTAGGTATTCACTGAGACTCCTCGCCTGCCCCCTGGTGGTCACAGTAAATGACGGGCTAAATGTAAAAATTTCAATATATTTAAATCAGTTAATAAAAGGCTTCTTACATGACATCAAGGAATCATTTCAAAAGTGGGAAAAACTTATCTTTAATTTGCTAACGTAAGGCACTTTGACATTTTACCTTTTGCTTTTTCACTTGGTTAGGAACGGGCTGTATATTTGTGTACTTGCTGCCCACCACCGCTGTCCTATACTAAATTGCACAGTTGTTTTGGGTGGTATATCCCTCAGCGTGGATGTACCATGGAACCAAAAACAATTTTTAAAAACAGTTAAAAACCAGTCAGTATATTTATCAGCTAATTGATTTTATTTTATAAGACAAGTACAATTGGCCTATCTTTTCATACTGAAGTATTAATAGTTAAAAAAGAATATTTGTATAAAAAGAATATTTGACTTAAGTCAGAGTGGGAAATTCAATGACACAGTTTTTGTTATGCTCATGTATGTGTCATATGTATTCAAATAAGTCTATTCCACCATTTACCCAACTAAAACAGGGAATCTTGTTCAAATAGTTAATTTCAAAAGTAACTAAATTTAACTCTGAGCCACTGACTAGGTTTCAATTAGAAGGACAGAGATGCTGGCAAAACAAATAAGGTGTCTATCAGAATCACCTGGAATAATCATATAAGAAACAACATGGATTTGTGTCCACTTCATTTTGCTGGTATTAATTATTGTTAAGAATCAGGTGCCTGCAATAAAATAAATAAATAAATAAATAAATAAATAAAATAAAATAAACAGCAAGAGGCAAATCTATGAATTGAAATATTTTTAAAAGTCAATAAAGCTTTTAGATTATATGGCACCAAGCTAGTTTTTTTTTTATATATATATATTTTCAATAATCAAATGGAATAAACATTTCTTTCTTTAAAAAATATATTTTTTTAATTGATTTTAGAGAGGATGGGAGAGGGAGAGAGAGATAGAAACATCTATGATGAAAGAGAATCATTGATCAGCCACTTTTTTGCACACCCACTCCTGGGGTTCAAGTCTCTAATGGGAATCAAACCATAATCTCCTGGTTCATAGGTTGACGCTCAACCTCTGAGTCATGCTTTTTTCTGATTACTAGTTTGACCTTAATACTTTAGATTTAGATAAAGCAAAAACTGTAATTAGCCACAAAAGTGACATAACTCAACTATGAGATTTGGAGAAGCCATTTAAAGAACAGTTAGGAATATGAGATTCAGACAGTCTTGATCAGACCCAGAGTCTGCGCCTCCCTGGCTGTGTAACCATACACAGATATACTTCCTAGTGCTCTTGTAGAAGTCACTGAGATATTGCAGATGATAGTGTTTAGCCTAGTGCTGGGCATAGAGAGAGCATTTAGTAAACATCATGTCATCTATGGACTTTATAAAAGCCTTGGGTCTTTCCTAAAGAATGTAATGTTTCCCTCTTTTTTGAGAAAATAGGAAGTATAGAAAGGACTGAAGCAATATCAATATGTGCTGTAAATAAAGAGATAGATAAATATATCTATTTCTGCATGAGTAGATATTAAACATGTATATATTTATGGATATGCACTCCAAAGCATATATACCTACTTTGTCTTAAATGTACATTTTTATTGAGGGAAATAATGTTCAATAATTTTAATATGCCAGTAATATAATGCTGCATGTGTACATTTATGCCTTTACTTATATATATAAGTCACATGTGTCAAACACAAGGCCCGCGGGCCAAATCCGTCCCGCCAGGCCTTGCAATGTGGCCCGCACTGCGCTGTCATCACTGCACTCCGCTGCGTTTCCATCACAATGACAGTTTATGACTGTTCAGTAAACCATTCAGCCCGCGATTTAGGCTGGATTTTAGATTTTGGCCCCTTCTCTGATTGAGTTCGACACCCCTAATATAAGTAATAAACAAGAATAATTTTCATTAGATATTTAATATTAACTTGAATAAGAAATAAATACATACTGTGTCTATGGAAGAATTTATTAGAAATTTTTATTATTTATGGCTCTTTTATTATTTTATCCTAAAATGTTTTTTGTTCATTTGTTTTGTCTCTTAGGTAAATTGGTGGATGAAACTGGAGAGTATAAATATATGTATATAGCCTGCGGGGCTATTGTGTTCCTAGCAAGTGTGTGGTTGCTCATTGGTAACACTATAAACTACAGAATGCTTGCAAAGGAAAAGAAGTTGGAAAAAGCAAAGGAAGAAATGTATAACAAGCCGGATTCCCAAGAATCTGAACCCTTGAACGCACCTAAACATTGTGCTATTGAAGTCAAAAGCATGAGACCAGAGAATAATCCCTCAGAAAGAGAAACTAACATGTAGCAAGAATCACATCTCTGATTTCAGTGTTTATGACTTTTTTTAAAAAAAATATGTTTTTGTATTGATTTTTTTAGACAGAGAGAGGAAGGGAGAGGGAAAGAGATAGAAACATTGATTGGCCAACTCCTACTGAGGATCGAGCAGGCAACTGGGGCAGATGCCCTGACCAGGAATCGAACCAGCGACCTCTTGGTGCATGGAACGACACTCAACCACTGAGCCACACTGGCCAGACCAGTGTTTATGACTTTCTTATGAGAACTTTTTTTCCCCCTCCAAAATATTGGAAAGGATTTTAGTTTAAATAAAACTTAATAGTCAATGATGGAGATGAGGTTTCTCTCAATGTCAAATTTTAAATGTTTCCCTTTTTAAAAAATATATTTTGAGATTATGCATATAAAGAATCCATGCAAGGGTTTTATTTTCATACATGACTCTGGTTGTGGTGATTAAAATAATTTCCAAATCTTCTAGTGACTTTCCAGTCTTGATTATAGAGATCTGAAATCCAAACCCCTGGTTTAAGTAGTTCTATAAGAATACCCTCTCCACATTTCACTTTTTCAGATATTAAAGTGTGAAATGGAACTAAAGGCAAATGAATTTCCACTCACAGTGTCTGGAGAACAGAAGACAAATAAGTTCAAAAAGAACATTATCACCATACAATTTTTTTTTCTTTTTACTTAAAAAATATCCACAGAGGAAAAAAAGAACTATGTTATATTTGCATGCTACTGTACATGTGGATTTTAAAGATAAGAACATGGGTAGAAATGAGGTGATCTTAATTTGAAAACACAACTAACTTTTTTAAACCATAAGATTTGATGAGCCCATGCACATGCTTTCTTTGAGGGGGAATTAGTACCTGGTAGTAGAGAACAGCACCTCAAATTAATTTTTAGAATTTTTACCTATTATGTAAACTAAGTTAAAAAGCCTAAATTAACCCCAAGGAGCAGTCTACATCCATTGATTTTAAAAGAAAAAAAACCCCAACTCAGTTGGTTTTTAGAGAAAGCAGTGGCTTTTCGGGGCAGGGATGATACCCAACCCACTGAGCCACACAGGGCAGGGCTAAAAAGGATTTTTGTGAGTAATCCAGAAAGCAATAACCAGGGATTGTGTTTTAACTAGAAGTCGTCCTATCTATTTTCAGACTGAGACAGCAAGCGGCATCAACCCAAATCCCGGTGGAGAGGTTTACAGATAGGCCAAGTTACAATTTTCCCAACACGGTGGTGATCAGCAGGTTACCGTTATGAGTAATGCATTTGGGAAAGCTCAGAGTGCGGGGGTGCTTATATTGAGCCCTCTAAACTCTCATTTTCCTCCCTTCCCCAGAAATGCAAAAGCAAAGACCAAAAATCCCAAATAGGCTTTGTATTCAGCGGCTGAAAATGCCTCGCATTATAGGGATGTCGGCACTCGAGAATTCTGCCCCCTATGGACGGCTTCCTGCTGCCTGTGAACATCAGTGTTCACTAAACCAGGAGACTGTGTGTGACCTGCTGTATGCACGTGGGAAGGGCAGGGATCGTGCACAACAATAGCAAGAAGCTTGCCATCCTGCAGCCCAGAGTGATTTCTCAGTTCCTCGTTTTCATGGCGATGTGAAAGCGCCTGGGAACCTGCAGCACTCTTGAATACAGTGGCACGTGATAGTTTTCTGTCCATTCAGAGCTATAGACACCATTTTCAGTTATAAAACGCTTGTAAATACGAAATTGTGCTTTACGACTAAAGGTATATATATTTTCGTCTACAGATCTGAAGTTTACATTAAAACCATGACTAATAAAAAGTATCTAAAGCTTGGTTATGGAAGTGATGTCACTCTCAGGACGTCAGAAGGAACTTGCTGGGGGTTTTGTGTTGTTTTATTAATTGCGGTAGAGGCAGGTGCTATTCTCAAAATGTTAGGGCCTAAGAGATTGTACCTGTATATCAAGCTTTGGTGATAGCTTACCCTGAGGATTAATTTGTAAAATGTATGCACTGCTTAAGCATGCGTCTCACATTTAGGAAGCTATATAAAATTCCATATTTCATTTAACATTCACTTTTTGCCTATAAAAGAGGTATTTGTATTTTTCAAACTTTAAGTAAAACGATATGTGCCAATGCCATCAGTAAATTAATCAGGGAAATGTGGCAGTATATGGATGTGGTTTTGTTTGTTGTGTTTTGTGGGGTTTTTTTATTTTTTATTTCATTTTGCCCAGTTTTGAGTCTTGAATAAGCTACTTTTATATTATGAGTGCTTTTCTATGTAACTCTGACTCTTCATAAGCAATGCAAGTTAGTCACTCTCCAATCTTCAGCATTTCCAAAGGTGTCTTGGATTCTCTGGAGACACACATGTAAATGAATACAGATACTAGACTCGGGTGAGGAGAATAAACAGCAGAATAATGATTGTGGGGTTTCAGGTTTAAGGCTATGGCCCTTTTTCTCACCAGCTGCTGGAGACATGCTGATGGGTGCATTCCCATAGCTTTCCCCACAAAGGGAGGTTTATTCCCATACTGACGCATTCCTTGTCAAAACCAATTCGTATTTATTTTATTGCTCCTTGGTCATCTTCATTATGCTTTCGTTTCTGGCACTGATTATACCAAATGGTTAGAAAAAAAGAAAGGGAAGGGACATTGTGCATCCGGAGGGCACAATATGAGGTACACAGTCATGTCTGGCAGTAGCGATGCAGAAAGTTATAAATACGCACACATGCCAATTCCCATACATACATATTGAACATTTAAATCAGAGTATACTGGAAAGAGTGATGTAAATTCTCATTCAGGATGCAGAATTGTTCCAGGGTAAAACAAGTTTTTCTGCTTGTTCACTCTTTCTGCTCTCTTGAACTTGTAAAAATATTTGTTGATTTAACAGAGTCTTTCAGGCTAGAAAATGTCAACTTAGAACATTCATTATCATGTGGTCACACAATGATTATCTTTCCTGATCCTTTTTAGGCGCTGTCAGTGCAAATTTAAGAGGCAGGGAGTCAGGCTCTGGTGTACTTCATTTTGGAAGACTTGATATTTTCCCAGTGTAACTTCATATGATGCACAAGTTTCACTTCATTAGTACAGAGTTCCAACCACCTTATCTACACACACACACACACACACACACACACACACACACCATTCCCAGACACTAGGAAATAACTAACATCATTAGGTTTGATACACTTGAATGAGCACTTTAGAAATCTAGGTATTTTTTACTCATCCTTCTTTGGCTATATGTAGCAATTGAGGATAAAAAAAAAAAAGACCGTAAGATGTATGATGTAAGTTGATGTTATAAAATATAGAAATAGCTTTAATCATTAGTTGAAGCTTATTTTCCATCAAAAAATACATTTTCCTTAATAATAATAATAATAATAATAATAATAATAATAAAAAACCCAAAACCTCTCATTTGTATAAAATTTCAGGCTTAATTAAAAAAAAAAAGTAAATTGTGACTGTTAGGCTCAATTTAATAGGAAAAAAGGATGCAAAATGGGGAGGGAGCTAGTCTTTATGTGCTGTGCATTTTGCCTACCTAATACCTTTCAATAGCCTCTACCAATGATTTAAGCCAAATCATAGGTAGAGGCTATTGGCCTGATATAATAGACCAGTGAAACAAAACAAAAAACAAAGAAATTCCGCAAATTACCAAAGATAAAAAGTAATATGTCTCAGAATCAAAACTAAAACTCGTGTTTATCTAAAACAGGAAGAGCCCCTAGATGTTCACTACCATGCTGTCTCCCATTAGAAGCTGCAGAAGCTAAGTACAGTATAGATGCAACAAATTTAAACTTTATGCAGAGAAACAAACTAGGTTAACTTCAATTCATGTTATGATTTACCTAGTGTTTGTTAGAAACTGCATTTGCTATAACCTTATTTCATTATTTTCTGCACTGGCCCCTATACCTTTACTCATTTTTCAAGTTTTTCTGAACACCTGTGTTGTCATTTCCCCCCTGTCCTTTTGATCTATAGAAAGAACAAGTGCCATTGCTTTTTCCCTCTCATTCCAAATTTTTGGCCTGCATTAAACATTGTTCTCCTTAACTTTATTTCAGATGATGCACTTCTAATGTCTTACATCCCTCACACAGTCACCCACGCCGCATCTGGTCTTATTTGTGTTTAGCAGCAATGGCCATATCCTGAGGCCACCAGTGTATACTTTTGGCAGTTACCACTCATCTTTCAAATAACGGAACTCATGAGACTGTACATTTGATACATATATATTTGAAAGCGATTTTTTTAAATCTACAAAAATTGATCTTTTGGCCCTTACTCTCCTGATATTTCTAATTTTCTTAAAGTGCCTGACAACTTGGAGAAACCAAGCTTACCATCAAGCATGGTATCATCGCATCCATCCTGTAGGTCCTTTCTGTGCAATGGCATCACTGATATAGCAAACTAAGTAGATTCCTCACCACAACAGTTCCCAATACCAAAGAGCATCAAAATGTTTGAGATAAAATAGAAATGGCAGTCTTTACTTATGTCACCTCTTTTTAGGGTTAGGATTCTACATGTCAACATGCATGACCTCATGTATGAGAAATCCACTTCAAAACCAAGAGGCCCCATTGTCAGTATTTTTTTTTTTTTTTTACCTCATATGCATTTTTATTTATGTATTTGGAATGTGGGTAGAATTTTACTGCCACTCAGGGAAAGCAGCCCGGGAGTCCACGCCAGCAGCTGCCACTGCCGGAACTAGGCCTTGGATTCCGTGTTTTGTGTTCATTGTCAGTAATTCTAATGCTTTGCATAATCAAAATCAGAAACTGAGCTCCAGAAACTATCTCTGTGGATCATTAAAAAATTGACTAATTTGCTGAGCTCGTGGGATTTTGTTGTGATATTCTCTTCTTTGCTATTAATAGTTTGCTCGCTGTAGATTTTTAACTCTACCTGGTTTATTTCACTCCCCTGTCCCGCACTGCTTTTCTTTCACCTTATTTGGCTTATGTGCGATTCATGAAAGAATTGTTATGGAAGAAGTTCATAATTTTAAGTCTCTGCCTTAAAAGGGAAAGTAATGCTGCAAATATATATATATATATATATATTTTTTTTACTTAAATGGAGCATAGAAAAAAAACTTTTTAGACCATATTATTTCTCCCATCCCAACCCCATGCTGCTTTGCTTTTCCCCCATCCTTTCTTTCTTCTTTTCTATCATTATTTTTAAAAGTCAAGGACCTTTTTAGCACAGGAGTTTTGTTTCTTTAGCGGGTTTAGTTTACTTTCCCTATTTGCCAGCTTCCCATGTTTTTCAGTCTTCATAGGTGCTTGTTAGTAAGTTGCATAATATACAGTATTTCAGCAGGCAATTGATTACTCAGAGATCATAAACCCATTGTCTTTTAGACATTTTTCTTCACACAGTGTAACAAGCCTTTTGCTCTTTTGTTTTAAATTCAAATACGGCAAAATAAGCTAGGGAAACACAGGCAGTCAATATTCTGTCAAGTATAGATTAGTAAAGAGTTCTGGTCAGATGAACAAAAGAATTATGTGAATGTCAGAGTGAAGTTTGAACACATTCTTCTAAGACTTTCATTCTAGGTTTACTGTTGTTTTGCTTTCATACGTATCTTAAAAAAAGGTTTTTAAGTTTGACCCAGTTTAGATAGCTTGTTCATTAAAGTGTAGGACAAATTCTTAATAAACTATTTCATTGACTTTAGTTTTCTACCAAGTATAAATGTTTGTGGATTTAGTGAGAGAGGACATGTGAACTGAACTGTTTATTTTCTAAGCATTATGTATAATGTATTATGTATAATGTGAACTTAACTGTTTATTTTCTAAGCATTATGTATAATGTATTGTATTTTCTTTTTAATATATTTATATATCAAGATATAACTAATTAATTTGTTTCATCATCTCATCGTCTTAAGTTATGGTTAGTTACAAATTCACAGTTTTGCAGAATAATACCAGAACAGGTGAAGGACTTTGGCTAAACATATATATCTGCCCTCTGAGTGACTGGATAAGCCATTTCACTTGTAATGGTGAACATTGTAGCGTGTATACATACTTTCCTGGAAATAGTCTAACCTTACTTAAATTCTTTATTTCCAAAATGAATATATTGTCCTAATTGAATTATACTTTACAAAATTATGTTTGTAAATTTAATTTGAAGAATATTTGCTGATTTCCACAGTAGATAATTCTGAGTAAATTGGTTGTAATAAAATAGGGGGATGAATGATTTTGTCCAATATGTATATGTTGTTACAGCAATATCTAAGTCATTAAAAAATATGCACTAATGATTTGTTTACAGAGTCTATGTGTCAGTATTCCATTGATTCCTTTTTTGTCTTATGCTCATATTTTATTTCAGAAGCATTACTCATTTTCCCCCTAAAAGTATAATAGCTCAGCAAGAATATGCAATATAAGTTCGTTGAATTAAGTCATACTCAAGAAATTAATGCCATTGTATAATTTTGAGGAGAACATTCCAAAAATATTTTTAAAGATTTTTTATTGATTTTTAGAGAGAGAGGAAGGGAGAGAGAGAGAAACATAGATGTGAGAGCAACACATCTGTTGGCTGCCTCTTGCATGACCTTGACTGGGGATCAAACTGACAACCCTTCAGTGCATGGGACAACACTCAACCAACTGAGCCACACTGGCCAGGGCCAAAAAATATTATTTGACTTAAAAATATGAGAATGGTTTAATAAAATAATTAGTGTAAGATCTGTCTCAAAACTGCTTGCTTTTTTAAATGGTCACTTCACTTATTTAAACGGTACACTAAAATGCCTTTCAAAGTTTAAAAATATAAGCGAGAACCCTCTACTTTCTGCCTTCTTACAGATGAATGTACTTAAAGTGATTGTGATTTGATCTTGGAATATACATTGCTATTATTTTTGTACATATAATAGCTCTAAACTTGGCAAGAACTGGCATTTTCATACAATATATTTTGTCTAAACACAATGTAGATTTACTTAAATCAGACGTATACTGTGTTGATCATTTTTAAATTTGTCTTTAATGTCCTTTATTTTTAACTTAGCCTGTTTGAATAACTGAATCATTTACCACTTTACTTTCATTTATACACTGTTATATGGACTTACTGTTTTAGAAAAATCTCTGTTGTCGTGTCTAGGTTTAACTACATAACTAATTTAAAACCAAATGTTGAATTCTTCTCAGGGGGCGGTATATATTTTGTCAGCAGTTTTGAGTATATTTTCAAGTTTATCTTTTCTTATTAGACTGTGAGCTCCTGTGGATAGGGACATTCTCTTGGTTGCAATAAAAATTTTAGAGCCTAGCGAAGTGCCAGGCACAGAATAATTCCTTTCTTGAGACAAATTGATTGGGCTAGAATCTAGAGCTGGCTGAGTGTATGTTAGAATTATCTGGCTAATTTTCAAAGTAACACTGAATGTATATTAGAGGATTCTCTGGCTAATTTTCAAAGTAATGTATAGAAAGCTCACACTTATAACATTTTATCTTTAAGTTGATAGTTTATTTTGAATATTTCATTTTTGTCAGGAAACATTTTATGCAAATGTTGAATTATGCGGCAGCTAAACTCATGGTACACATAAACTAGTTTTAGTTTCTTTACAAAATGAGAAAAGCTCTTTAGGCTTCCTGAAGATAAATGTTGACAATAGTTTTATTGACCAAAGGTGCTACTCATTTTACAATATTTGCTTTGATCATAGATGTTCCTATCTGCTGAGCTTTATTTATTTTTTTCAGGGGACGGGGGGAGGAGTGCAAACAATCAGAATGTAATTTCTTCCTGAATTATGCAATTTACCACTGTATTTATTTCTTTGTACTCTATTATTGTATTTAAATTATTACTTACTGCTTACTAATTTTTATTGCAGGGCTATGCCGTTTCCATATGCATTTGTCTATATAATATGTAAGGAAAAACTGTATTGCTTATTAAATTAACATTAAGGTAAATAAATAAATGCTCACTTTAAATTTTTTAAATTAAGTGTACACTGCCTTTTTTTAAGGACCACTAAATAGTATGCTAACCAAAAGATAATTTTCAACATCTGCTCACATGTGAGGGCACCACTTTTTTCTGAGTGCACATACTTGATTAATGTCGATGGAAGTTAGACACAGTCAAAATACAAGCCACTTCTAAGGGCTGAAATAAATGTCCAGTGCTTGCTTTTTTATGCATTTACAGTTTAATGGATTTACACAGAATTAATACACTCCGTTCAAAAAGAGAGCATCATCTGCACCAGAGTTCTCTTCTAACCACTTCTCAGCATATGTTCCCTCAACTTATTTTTTAAAGAGACTTTATTGTTTAGAGA